GGAAGGGAAGGGAAGGGAAGGGAAGGGAAGGGAAGGGAAGGGAAGGGAAGGGAAGGGAAGGGAAATCTGGTTGTTGGATTGGTTTGGCCTTGTATTGCAGTTTCCCCATACCTGGTGTCAATTAAGAAAGTGTTTTTTCCTCTAAATTCTTAACTGCCCTCTACAATGTTAAAAATGGAACATTTTTTAATATGGTCAATTTTTTTTCTTCCTGACCATTTTTCTCTCTACACTTCAACTTAGCCAATAAAATTGTCATCCCATTTTACATTCAGAATTTGTTAGATGTTGAGAAACCTTGAAGGAATTCGTGTTTGCCTCAGAGCAGTTTCTCCTGAAATGTGGAAAAATTCACTCCCTGTACACAGCAGCTTGTTTTAACAAAACCAGGACATCTGACCAAGTTCCCTTTAAAGCCTAGAAACTTAAAAAAAGATCTATTGCCTCTCATAGCTGAGGAGTGGAGGGAAAATTGAGCTTCAGCTATCATCCTTCATCCAGCCTCTTGACCTGGTTGTGAGGGAAAAACAGCTACTCAGGACAAGTCAGAGCAGCCCGGGAAGCTGGAGCAGCAGCCTGGGAGAATGACATGCCTTGTCCTGCCAGAGCTGAGTGCTGCCTGCCCTGCCTGGGCTCCAGGGGAACATGGTGGGAAACATCTCTGAGAGGGCCTGGCCTCACATCACCAAGCAATTTCAATGAGATTTAAACTAAGAGGTGATTTTGCCCTGAGTATCTTAAGCCTTTAAACATTATCTACTCTTAAGACAGGAAAGCAGGTGTGGAATAAGTACAGAAAGAGAAGGAGTGGCCAGAAAACTGATTCTGCAAATATTCAGCCAGATGAAGGGAGGAGGAGACTGGTGCAGGGCTGCACATCTGACCAAATCAGGCACTGGCTTCCAAGTGTCACCAGGGTCAGCTCAGCTTTGGCTGCAGCATCTTAAAACTGTCAAGTAGCTGAAGCAAAGCACTTCTAAAAGAAACGTGAATTGCCCAAAATCAGTGCTACATCAATATCAGCTAATACCTAAAGTGAATGTGTTTATCTTGCATTTTCTGTTTCTTAAGGATTAGCTGCCTTCTCTCATTTTGTATCCAAACATTTGGATTAATAGATAATTACATATTTATTAGCCAGTCTTTCACAGCAAGCTGAGTCATTTCTCTTGCACACACAAGTAAATAACAACTTATGGCCTGGTTAGCCTTTCCAAGTGACAAGTTCTGTATTCTGTTCACTGACATTGCACCATCCCTGCCTACAGCTGGGCCCGCAAGAGAACGTGGACTTGGCAAGACTGAAGGCTTTAAAAAAAGTCAGTCAGGCACAGGCTCCACATTGAATGTATTTGCATACGTTCTCTGGGTGTTTGAACAATGAGGCTTGTTTCCTCTCTGCCAAGAACCAGTCCCATTCCTGGAAGTGTTCAAGGCCAGGCTGGACAGGGTTTGGAGGAACCTCGTGTCGTGGGAGGTGTCCCTGCTCATTGCAGGGGAGCTGGAACTAGACAGGCTTAAAGGTCAGCTTCGAGCCAAACCATTCTCTGATTTCTTTTCCGTGTGGCTGTCCGGAGGTTTCCGTGGCCTGATGTTGGCTCAGGTGAATTCGCTTGGGCACCACACGGAGCCGAAGCGCTCCAGTTCCACCGGGCTGGGTGCGCTGTGCCAGAGCAAAGTCTTAGCGGAGGACGGCGAATCAAAGGGAAGGAAAACCCCAAAAAGACCGTGTAGGAAGGAAAGAGCAGAAACACTGGGAGGGAAAGTCAGTGAGTCAAGCAATACAGGCCGGAGTGCAAACGTGAGTTAACTCTCCTCGCCTCTCCACTGCTCGCTCCAGAAGCTCGCACAGCTCCATTTCGCTGAGGGGGAAGGCGAGGCAGGCGGGGGCCGCTGGCTGGCGGGGATAGCCCCGAGCGGGGCGAGCGGAGAGGCGGAGCAGGAGCCCCGTGCCCGTGTGTGAGGGGCCGCGCGGGGCGGGCGCTGAGGGGGCGCTGCCGGCACGCGCCGCGCGGGCGGGGCGGGGGCTCCCGGCGGCCTCGGCAAAGCGGGCGGGGCCCGGGATAATCTCAGCCGCCGCCGCCGCCGCTGGCTCTGCCGCCGGCTCTGCCTTTCCCTCGCTGCACCAGGTAATCCCCGCCGCGGCTCTCCCCGTCGCGCAGGGCCGCGCCGTGCTCCCCCCTCGCCCGCTCCCGGAGCGCGGGGCTGGAGGCGGCGGGGCTCAGCCCGCCCCGGGGCTCAGCCCGCCCCGGCCGTTGCCAACCGCCCCCCGCCCGCGCTCACCCGTCCCCCGCCCGCCCCCGGCCCGCCCGCCGCCGCTTCCCGCCGGGCTGGGGCCGCGTGTGGCGGCCGCCCGCCCGCGTGGGAGCCCCCGGGGCGCGGTGTCTCGGGTCTGCGGCCTCCCCCGAGTGAGGGATCGGCGTCCCCGGCTCGGGCAGCGGCGCAGGGGAGGCGGCGGGGCGTGAGGCGCTGCGGGCTGGAGTCGTGGGGCAGGCGCTGACCCCTGGTTAGCCTGGAGTTCTGTCGGTCGGCGCTGTTCGCTGGGAGGAGGGAGAAACCTCAGCTGCCCCGGTCCCTCTGGGCCTGGCATCTGGAGGGTTTCCTTGTCAGAAGAAACTATAACCTGCAGCTTTCCGCCCTGATTGTGAAAGAGCTGATAAGTGCGCGGTGGTGCCGGCGCTCGCCGCAGCTGCCGAGCCTTGGTGCAAAGGTAACGTGCTGAGATGGGTGCTGTGCTCTGCTCTGGGGAGCACAGGTAGACAAACCTGCCCTCGCTGTCCCCCAGCTGTCACCTCGGGTCCGCTGCTTCTGTGCGGAAAGTGTTGTTCAACAGACGGGTTTTCTGTGGAAGAGTTTGTCATCGCTCGCCGAGTGAGTTTTTACCGCAAAATGTGCTATTTTAGTGCTGTGATCCTTTTGAAGTGATAGTGCTGAGTTCCTCATGCCATGTTCACGTTTGGCTGCTCTTCAGTAACCACAGGGTTAGAAGTGTCAGAAACACTGGAGACAGCACCTGTTTTCTGACAGTTCCACTAAGTTTTATATCTGCTGGGAAGAAAAAGCATTTGGTTTGCCTTATTTTATGTTCCCTATTTAACGTTATCCTACATTACAATAAAATACATTTTGAAAATATATTGTTTATAATATGTTATAGGGAAGGAAAATATTAGCCAGCAAATTCCGGGTTTCTGCAGCATTTCCAGGCCCTCCCATCCCACCATCTGGTTTTCAGTTTAAAGTTATGCAAAAAGGAAGTTAAATATTTGCTAATTTTTTTTTTTTTTTTAGTGCTTCTGTTTCAGTGCGTTGCAACTGAATATTGCAGGCTAATGCTTCTGTTGAAATTGCCAGTGAATCCTAGTGTCTGATTCTTGCTGTTACCTTTGGGGGTGAATTGATAGTTGCTGATTTTCATACCAGTGTTATGGAAGTGAGTTGCAGGGTGTTCTTTGTCGTGAGTGAGCTGGACGGAGGGTTTATGGACAAGCTTAGCAGGCTTTTTACATTGATCTATTAGTAAATGCGGTGGCGTATATCTTTAAAGATATCTTTAAATATGCGGTGCGTGACTGGCTTGTAGTTTGGTGATTATAAGGTGTGTACGTTTAGGCATTCAGGTGTCGCTTATAAAGATGTCGGGGTTTAATTCGATGGCTAATTTGGGGGTTCTATCGGGCAGGTGAAGCGTTTCAGGAGCGTGACGGGCTCGCTGGAACACGCCTTTTGTTGTGTGCCGGCGGGCAGGGGCGCGGAGCCGCAGGAGTTAAGGCGGTGGGGTCGGCCGGGCCGCCGCCTCCAGTGAATTCAAACCGGGCGAGTGACGGGAGAGCGGGGGCCGGGCCGGGCTTTGTTGGGGCCATTGACGGGAGCCATTTTGGGCTGTATGGCACGGCGTGTGCCGGCCGAGGCCGGGCCCGGCGGATGGCGGCGGGCGGAGCGCGGAGCTCGGGCTGCGCGGCCCGGCCAGGCCCCGGCGCGGCGGGAGCGAGCGGGCCCGGGCTCGGCGTGTGTGCGCTGCCAGCCCCGTGTAAACAATGAGCGGGCGCGCTGAGGGCTGCACCGCGGCTGCGTTTTGTCAGTCCCCCACTTTAAAAAGCGTTTGGAGAGGTACAGAATGTGACCGTGCAGTGTCGCTGCTTTGTGATGAACCCTGGGTTTTGTTGTTAGTGCTGTAGTTTGACACCTGTGTTTGGGGATCTGTGCCGTAATGCTCAATGGTAGCATCTAGTGTAAAATATTAATTTTATTACTTGTGGGCTTTCTTTGTTTGCTTCTGGGTTGCTCTTTTAAAGGAATAATAATGTTTTATGAATGTGTGTTTTAATAAAATGTTGATTTAGCTTGGAGCTCTTTGCTCTTCAGCCTGTTCAAACTAGTACTTGCTATGGTGAAACATCCTTTGTGGAATATATTTACTTAGGAATTTACGTTCTTTAACCAAAAACAGTGATTTTATTGGTTATTCTGAATAAAAATTGAAATTACAAGTAAAATATGGCTTGCTCTCAGAAACTGATGGAGTTTGCCTGTTCCAGTTTCATTGTTATTGATAGTTTGCCTAAATCGGTTTAGCATTTGTGGCATTAAATATGTTAAGTCATAGTGACTTAAACTTACTTGGCTTTAAAATGTGAGGTTAGTAAAGGTTCTATTTGACGTAGTAGTACCAATATCTAAGATTGTATGGTTTTTTTAATCCCTTGTAATATAAAAAATTAAGACATGCTGTCTTGGCAATTCTCTCATTCTCTAACAGACTTTGGTAAATATTTCTACTCTGCCAGGGTCCCTTTTGTGAAATGGCAATTTACCACTTCCTTTGTTGCAAAGGGTTTTCACGAGGAACTGCCTGGACAGTATGTTTGTAAAAGTCTATGTGCCCCAAAAGCCATCAGTGAGGGTTTGTGTCTGTCCCTGTGAGGTGTTTATAGTGTATGGTCAATGTTTGGTGCTGCTGCTGCCCCTGCCTTGTGATGCTTCTGTGCATAAAGGCCACTCGTGGAGCATTTCATCATCTTTCCTGGAAGGCAGGAAGCTTGCTGCCATGGTGCTAGGATTTTGTTGAGGCTGGCTAGTTGTGAAAGTGACTGTCAGAGGTTTTTTTTGAGCTAGTGGTGCAGCCTCATGTCAGTCAGAAGGTTCAGAGTCCTTTGGAGACAGCCCAGGGCCTTGTGTGAAGGTAAATTCTGCTGCACTGATTACAGGAGTCCCTGAGTTTCCTTGTGTTCTGACAGTCACAATCTGTCTTCTCCTGCCCTTCTGCTGTGCTGATTTATTGTAACACAGATTCAGTTAAATTGCAAGGGAGAAATAATGCTTAGGATGACTGTTGTGTCTGCTTCCCAAAACAAGGCAAATAATCCAGCTGTCTCCTCTGCAGGAACATGGAAGCTGGCTTGTAAACTGAGGCCCACACAGTGTCTGCTTCCCTTTAATTGACTGTGGGCTGTCTTATCAAAGTGTTCTTATTACTTGGGCGTTTTGTACAACTTGCACTATACTTCCCTTAGTATTAGAAACAGATGTTTATGGGCTTCTACAAAAGGGAAAAGGGCTATTTTGGAGTTTGGGCCTGGTAATCTTGCAACAAAGCTGAGACTAAAAGTCAACGTGAAACTGAGTCCAGACAGATCTATGATACCTAAAGCAGAAAGATGTTGGGCACCCAGAAGTGTTCACACTGGAACTAAGTACAGTACCTACTTCTCAGGTTCTCTGCCAAGATTTTCAAAATATTTTATTAGCATGTCTGTTTCTGTTCCAGTTGTGTATGAAGGTTTCATAAGCAAGAAGAATGATAATACACAAAAAGTGGAGTGCTGTTAAATGAGTGAGTCAATGTCCTTCGCCCACCCTGTATCTGTTTTGTAATAAGGATGTAGAATATTTATAAATAAATTGGGTTGATCATTTGTTTTGAAGAGGTGGATCACTAAGCTCTTGAACTAAAAGTCAGGCTTTTAAAAAATCTAGTTTCATAGGAAATTCTAGATGCCCATTTTTGCAAATGGTGGTGGTCATCTCTGAAGATGATGTTCAAATTCTGTTTAAGTCAGTTAAGCCTGTTTTGTTGCTTTGAAAAATTGAGTAGAGATTTCTCCTCTTGAGTCAGAATTAATTTTAGAGACAAGCAGTGAATCAAACCAAGTCCCTAAATCTTCTAAGAGTGATTTCTAAGTGTGGTGTTTAGATGGCAAACCTGATATCTTCACTGGAGAGCTGGTGCTGTGAAACCCAGCTATTAATAGACCTACGCCTAAGTACCTTCGAGGCTTTGCAGTTAGCACTGCCTTTGTCAAGCACATATTTTATCTATAATAACTTAATGATACAATAAAAAACGTATGAAATAGGAAATATTATGTTCTAGCATTTGATTTATTCAGAAACGAAGAGAGAACTGGTGGTGAAGAGGAAAAGAACAGGGAAGAAATTGAGCCAATGTTGTTTTTCAAACTCGGTTGTTGCCCTGCCCATATGGGCAGTGGAGACAGGGAGTTGCTGGGGAGCTACTCAAAGCTCACTGGCGTAGCTGAGCTTTCCATGTGGGAAAATATCGGGTGTCAGAAGGATTAGCTACTGAGTTGCCAGTTAGAAAACAGGTTTTGTGATGAAATGATGTGTGCTAAGCACGCACATCAAGTCCAGTGGAAACTAAACAAGATTTTTCTACCTTGGGCGTAAAAAATCTTTATTGGGGTGAACCAATTCAAACAGATCAACCTTAATAATAGTTTTCGATTTCAGTAGGCATATGTCTGAGAAACCTGTTTTGCTGTTCGTTAATACAAGTGCTCTCTGATGTTATCAGCATCCCTCATCTTGAAAATCACTGTATTTCCACTTTCATTCCTGGGGAGCCATTGCTCTCTGGTCCCCATTTCCTGTGTGCTAAATTGAGCTCCTGTTTGTTGATAAAGTAAGGCAGCAGTTGTTATATATTCCAACAGAATTTGCTGCTCATTCCAGCAAAAGAATGAGACTGCTTTGCTAATACTTCCCCACTACTGATTTGAGCTTCCTGTAAACAAATACATTTATATACAAGTTAGTGAAAGCATTATGGCTTTGGGGCAAATGAACGTAGAGGATCACTTAATGGAAATGTGTTCTCTATAATAAAAAAAAAGTAAATAGCAAGAGACCTTATTTTTCATTAACCCCACTTGGCATGGGAGGTGCTTGGATTCAGGAAGCTATGATGCTTAGGCCCAGAAATTTTAATTTTTTTAAGTCTTCAGTAGTAATAGAAATATCCTCCTGCCTTACTGACCTCAGGATTTGGAGGCTACAGGTGGACTAAGAGCATTTTAATGTTACGTGTACAGATTTCTTTTGAGCTGCTTTTGCCTGTACCTGCTTTTTGTCCCTATTTCTTATGCATGTTTAGCTATACAAAATGAAGACTCTTCTTTCAGCATAGGAAAGTGCATCTCCAAAACGAGATGCTTGATGATATGATTATGAAAATTAGCTGGGGATATTTTTATCCTGGTTTAGGTAGGTCATCACAGATGTGTGGAATATTTTTACTGCTGTTGAAACAGGAGCCATAGATAATCTGAAAGTAGCCAGGATTCTGCCTTGCTAACCATGCATATCCAGAATAGCCAAATCCCTATTTGTTAACTACAAATAAGCTATCATCCAAGAATCCTTTCCACAAAATTAAAAATTTTCTTTGGCTAATAAAACTGAGAAGAGCTGAAGGTTTTTTGCAAATACTTTGAAATTGAAAGTCAAATTGTTCATAGTACCACAAGTAGTCACCCATGCAGCTCTGCGAGTTTGTTAATATGACAACATCAGTTTTTATTTTCTTCTGGAAGCTATAATACTTTTCAAGGACCCCATGGAAAGTTTTACAAATGTTTCTTGGGTGGTTTTGATTTGGTAGTTTTGGCTTTGGATTTGTTGTTTTTTTGGAAGTGGATGGCACTCTGGAAAATGTGCCTAATTCTACCCTATGAGTCACTCTGCAGTTGGCTCTTTTGCTAGGGTGTGTATTCAGTGGTTTTAATGACAGGAATAATTTATGTGAAATGAAGGGTACTCCCTCACTGCTTAGTGGATGGTATTCAAAAGTGCTAGAGTAAAATCATTTGACTATATGTAAAAACTTGAGAAAGTTTCATCTGCATTATCTTTAGTTGGTGCACAGAGCAGCCTGTGCTTTGCTCAGAGGGCACTCAAAGCAAAACACGTTTTGAAGAGATCTCTGAAGCAGTATTGTGCGTTTCTCTAGATTTTTATACTTAGCTTCGTTAGGGGATACCAGCATAATGTAGTTCCTGTGGAAGTATTGTAATTTGGTGTGATAAGAGTTTGGCTCAAAACTGTCATGTTCCAGAGAACTTGGAAATAGCTGAAAATAGTATCATAAAGTCACAGTCGGAAATAGCCTGAGCTTCCTGTAGTAATGATAAGAGATATCTATATGGCACTAGGAGCAATACTACTCCACTACTGAGAGCTCCATGTTTCTGGTAACAGATCTTTTATTTCAAATTTTAATAACACAGGCTGAACAGTGCAAGGGCTCCTAGATTGACTTTACATAACTTTAAGTCATTGCATTACTTTATTTTCACCTTTTACAGTATGATTTGAAACTGTCAACATGGACTTTTCACGTCTACACACGTACACCCCTCCCCAATGTCTGCCAGAGAACACTGGCTATACATATGCACTCAGGTGAGAACCCTTTTCTTCTTGTGGACAAACTGTTCTCTCAATGTTGCTAATCCTGGAGAGTTGAGCTTTCATGGTAAGTAGCTGACTTCTTTGAAGAAGTGGGCTTTTTCTAGCCTGGTTTGAAAACAAGTGCTATGTCCTAACTGGAGGAAAGAAAACATTGAACTAACAGGACAATGACTAAGATAATGACTCAGTGTTTATTAGTTGCTATGAATAACTTGTGTCCGCCTAGTTACAACTGCTGTTGGATTTCTATAAATATGTCCTCAAAATTCTTCGATGTTTTGTGCCTTGTAACTTTGGTGTGTGCTTTCTTTTGTGACTTGGGACCATTTTCACTTTAAAACACTGATTTTTGCACACTCATTGCCGCTAGTGTGGGACTTTGGCTGGAAGTAACATATTGATTATTTCTTTTAGCAAAGCTGCTTGGTGGGTGAATGTAAAACTCTGTGTTCTAATGAGCTTGCTTTTCCTTGTATCTTTTTCCTGTATCTTCTGATGATATTGGTTTTTTTCTTGTATCTTTGTTTTTCTTAAATCAGTTTTCTAGAAACTAACTGTAGTGTTTGAAAGTTTTTGTATTATGTATTCAGAACAAGTGTTGTGATGCCTATTTTGAGCTTTTTAGTATTAATATAACAGATTGTTGCTGTTTTAATCTTTTGAGTTTTTCCTGCTGTTGAGTTGAGATATATACTTGAAATTGTATCAGTGAACCTGAGTTATTGGTTTAGCTAAGTTTAAAAAATGATTGTTTGTTAGGATGCAGTATGAGATTTGCTTTTTTTATTCCCTCTGTTAGTCATTATTATGTATTGTTATTAAAATCCAGTATAGAGATTGGAGAATACTTGGCTACTTGCCAATAAAACAGAAGTTGGCAAAACTGTTGCATTAAGAGATTACTGACTTAATACTCTTCTTTTGTGTGCTCCAAAACTGTATCTTTCCATTTTCTGTTGGGGATCATGGCTTTTTTTTTTTTTTTTCTTTAAGCTGTAGCCTAATGTCGGTAGTGTTGCAAAATGTGATGTGTTTTATGTTGCATTAATTGAACTGCAATTTTTCCTGAATTTTATGAAAAACTATTGGTAAAATGTTGGTTAAATGCAAGTGGATTTTCCAATTTCAAGAAAAGCATACTGGGCAATCAAAGTCATCTCTGTGCCTTGTATCCAGCAGCAGTTTCACTTCTGTATTACTCAGTGGGTTTAGTTACCTTTGAGTTGCAAATGTACCTTAGAGATTGGCTGAAATATTGTAACTCCTGATAGGTTAAACTCCTCTGCTATTCTTGTCCAAAATTCTCATGCAGTGAAACAGTGGGCAAGTAGAAAGGAAGATGCAGAATGAGATAAATCCTATTGGACATCTGGAGGATATTTCATTATGACTTTGGTGTGGTTTATTTAGGGGACAACCGAATGTTTGTCTTGGTACATAAATGAAGACAGTTTTGCAGCACTGAGAAGTTGTGAAGGGGCTCCATGTACTGAAACTTTGCAGCTTGCCATTTCACCATGTTAAACTATTAGGCGTAGGTATTTAGAAATGGATAGAACTGGGTAAGATAAAGTTTAGTAACTGAATTAATGAGAGCCAGTATAGTTAAACTAGGTTGAAATTAATTAATTGTAATTCTTCCTATTGTAGAAAAGAAGGACTGGCAAGCTCTTCCTTTAAAATTGTGTGAGGCCCCAAATGTTAAAAAAATGGGGGAAAACTACTTGGTACACTGACATGACAGTGCTTTTGGGGTGTCAGGAAAGTAAACTACAGTCCTTTGTGCAGACTCTTGCTGTGCCTCTGCTTGCTGTATATGTGCAGAATGACATCTATTATTGTAGTTCTTCCTCCACTGGGTCAAACAATATTTAAAGACTCTGAGGAAAGCAAGACTTGCTGATCAGAAATATTTTCATATTGAAATTTGTTCCCTCTTACCCCCTCACCTGTGTTTGTTTTGCTTGTATTCAGATCCAGTTTATTCTGCCTTTGACAATTCAATCTTTACTGAATCTTTTCTTTAAAGAAATTGGCTTGGGATGTAGTCCTGCAGAAAGCAGTGCAGTGAAGTTTGATACCACAAAGCTATTAATAGAGTTGGCCATGACTTATTAATAGAACTTATATTAATACTCTATGGAACCACTGTGTGTTCATAGCTGTAGTGTTCTACTCCTCCAGCTCAAATGAGAAAAACATTTAACTGATATACCTAAATAATCTTTATCCTCCTCCAAATGCAAGTCAAACTTGTGAATCTCACCCACCTGTCAACATGTAATTTACACCCCACTCTTACGACTGATCTTTCTTTTTAGTCACCAGCGTCTTTTGAATTGTGTTGTCAGTGTGGGTGCCTTTAAGACTTCTTCACAAATATGGGTTAAATCAATAAGTATTTGGTTTGATTTTCTTTTTCTGTGTCAGAGCATTCAGTTGGGATGTAATTTTCTGCACAGTAATTGAATAAAATCCTTTGAGGTTTTTAGCTGTGCTCTGGAACTGACTGAGGAAATGACTAAACAATTCAAGGTAGTGTCCTGGGTCACTTGATGTAAGTAATGCCTCCTGGTTAGAAAGGGTGTGAATGTTTTTGTATTGGCTATATGTCTGTCCATGATGGAAGATGTCCGTTGAGTTGTACTTCTCTAGGTGTATTGCATGTGCCTATTTATTCCTATTAGTCAAGAATATCACTGCCTATTTCATTCCATTGAGTATTTAAAAATAAATGACACTTAAGGTCCTTCAGACAAGCTATAGGCATACTAAAATTGGCAGACCTCATTCTCATTCCATTTACTTGAAAAATAACCCACTGAAGTCTAGGACATTCCTGTTCTGTAGAAACTCATGTGAAGGAGGTATCAAGAAGCTGGAAATGTAAGACTAGATTCAGTCCCCAGCTCTGCCAGCAGCCATGGGTGCTGTTTGCTGGGGGAAGGAACCAGTCCTCACTGTTTGCAGAGGTTATCCAGGAGTATATGCTAATTGCATCCCACCTTTAGGTTAGCTGTATGTATTGCATAGGAGGATATCAATGTGAAGGTTCATTTCTGGCCCTTAAAAGGAAAGGCAGTGGTTTTTTAAATTTACTGTAGTCTTTTCTGTAGAAGAAAAAAGACTGCATTCCAAAGCATGGAAAGTGAGATGGCAAATTAGGAGACTTCTAGGTACTGTCCTGCTGCCAGAGGATTGATAATGTGAAAAGAATTATTACCCTGCACGAGAGACAAGCCCCTTTTGTTAAAGAGGAAAAGATTCTAAGATGATTTGTTGGGGTTTTTTAGAGAGTGGAGCCCAACTTCTAGGTATTTATTCAACCCACATTGATATAAATGCTCATTGAGATACTTGGTAACAGCAAGTGTTCATAAACAGAAACAAATTGAGGCTGGTCACAGCTGTCAGCTTGTTCTGTGTACTTTGTGTTCTTGTGAATTGAGTATCTGTAAGAAACGTGGGGTGAAGATGAGGAAAAGCAAATGCATAGTGGCAAATGTAAATAGCAAAACTGAGATCTGAAACAACTGTTTAGGGAGGGACACAACAGAAAACTGTTGTGGCTCTGACCCTTTCAGAACAACAGCAAGAGGAGCTACATTTAACCCATAGTCTCACTTCACATCTGTCAGAGTATGAGTCGTCTATACTTAGCGTTTTTGAAAATTGTAGAAATTAATTTAGTCTACAATTGGTTAAGTAGATGAAAAAATGTGTTATTTCTTCTCCTTCCTCCAGCCAAATGAAAGCAAGGATTAACATGCCTAATGTATTTAATAATATATGCTGGGTTTGTTAAGCTGTGCTGGGGCTCTTGCCTTGCACAGGATTGCACTGCACGTGCCAGCATTATCAGGGCAGACCAGTGAGATCCAGCACACAGAGCCAAAGCCCTGCCATCAAATCTGTGCTGCTCTGGGCAATAGAAGCAGCGACTTTGGACAGACTCTGGTCTGGTCTTATGGGCTGAATGCCCAGCTGGTGCTGGAGCCATGAGATGTTTTCAGGCAGTGTGTTGTCCGTGTTAGTTTTTTAGCCAAAATAAATGCAGTTGACATGATCTGACAGCCCCATCTTATATACTTTACTTTGCATTGAGGAGCAATGAAGAAACTGACTTCAAAAGCACCATCATGTCAGAATCACATCATTACTGTAAGTGTAGCTTCAAGGCCTTCTGGTGTTAATTGTGTGCCAAAGCAACACAATGCTCACCATATTATTACTTTGTAATATTCTGAGGTCTTTAATGATTGTGTGAAAAGACTATTTCCATTAAATCGTTCTTAGACAAATATATTTTTTAGTAACTGTATGTATTTTTTAAAGGGAAAGTTTCCATTTCAAGTACAGTTTGCCCAGTTGAATCTACCAATTCAGATCTGATTTGCTTGTTTATTTTTGTCTGGGGGAGAAGGAACTGCTGTCCTAAACAATTCTTTGCTTATCTCTTCTAAAAACCAAATGAAACCTTCAGGAGTACTGAAGTGGTGTTACATCTCTGTATATCCCTGTGGCCCGAGAAGAGTCCTTATGAAAGCTGGCCCAGAGCACTTAGCATTTGGATGCTGTGGGTCACAGGGCTGAGCAGTTCTAGAACCTGACCTGCTGTGCAGTCCCTGTGCCAGCAGCTCGCTTACGTAACTGAATGTTTCCTTTGGTTGTAGTTATGAGAATTCTGCTTTAGGCTAAACTTCTGCTTTGGTAAATGTATTTCTTACACACTCCTCAGCTTAATCTGTTTGTATTTGCCTTGTGTTGCTGCTTTGTCTTCACTGTAAGTTTTCAGGGAGGCTCTGAGAGAATGACGTGTCAAAATGTGGAGTTCCTGGGGTAACAATGTGAGGGTTATCTTTGTATAAACTTGCCTCTGAGGAGAAAAACAAATTAAAGTCTCTAAGCACTTTTTGTTAGTTCAGAGTTAAATATTTCTGATGGCTTGCATTAAATTAAGCAATGTTTTTAGAATGCTTTTTTAAAAAAAGTAATGGTAGCTAAACTGAAATAGCTGAAGTAGGGAAGTCTTTAAGTCTCTTAAAGGGAGGAAGTTCCTACTTGTTGAGAGATGGAAATTCAGGGTAATGTGACATATGGATCTTCAGTTCTCAAAACAAGGACTTGTCAAACAGAAAATCGACAAAAATAAACTTAGACTGAAAATTAATCTTTACCTTGCAACTTGAGCATGTAATTTTTAATTTGCTGCTAGGCATGGTGCAAAAACTGTGTCATGAATTGCTTCCACTCTCAAATTGGTCCCAGAAGAATGAGTGAGTGCTCTGGCTAAACTTCTCTTGTGGTTTCCATGGTGGTTGTTTCTTTTTGTGATTTGCTTTCGTTTGTAGAACTTGTAATATGAATTGTGTAGGAGAATGTTGAATATCTACTACTTATATCTAGATTATTTGGGTTATTTGGTGTATCTTGTGGGGATTGTACCATAACCCAGAATAAACTACATTTAATGGAGACTTGGACTAGCTTAAAGAATGTGTTTGTTACCAGGTTGAAAATTCTCCCAGTAACTTTGCTATTCTTATTTTACTGCAGTTCGAGTTATTCTTCATCTGCTTTGGATTTTGAGACTGAGAACAAAATAGATCCAGTGTTTGATTCGCCCAGAATGTCACGGCGTAGTTTACGGTTGGCTGCTGGAGGATACAGTAAAGCAGATGATGGACAGAGTGATTCCCTTCATGACAGCTCTTATGCTGGAAACAAGTAAGCACTTCTGGTCATCTCAACTAAATCCTGAGTCTTACTGTCTGAACACAATAATGCAGAATGGTTACCTACAGGTCTTATATTTTGTTCTTGGTGTTTACTGCCATACTCTGAAATTTATGTTCAGTATGTGGTTTGCAATGACAATTTTTTACAAAAATCTTTGTGACGTTATAGGTGCTTGAAGGCGAGGCCTTCCTTTTAAACCTTGTTTGCTCTGTTTAGTCACATCAGTGTTGAAATATCTGTTTATTCATTTATTAACAAAGTGAGAGAGTAACAGAAATTTGTCTTTAGTGCTATGTCTTACTTGCCTTTGTTTCCTAGGGTGGTGAAGCAACGCAGAAGTATGACCAAACAGTCTGGCAGTGGAAGACACGTGCCAAGGAAAAATCTGTCCAGCTCATCTATTTTTAGCCAGAGCAGTTTCAATAGCCATGCCAGTGATACATCAATGATATCCACTATATTGGATGAGTCTCTGATTCGGGAGCAGACAGAAGTTGATCATTTCTGGGGTAGGCAATAGTTGCTATTGCTTGTATCAAACTGTGCAAACTTTTTTGTTTGGTTTGGTGTGTATAAATTTATGGTCTTTGCCCCACCTGTTGTCCATCCTATCCCCAAATGTGTGTGTACTTGCACTTCTGCTTTAGGGATCTACTGGCTAAGATGCCAACTGGAAATTCACGGTCCAGCTTGTAAATTTGATTTACTGGCATGGTTAGTGTCAAGACGTTGCACAGTCGAGTTAATGTGCCAGCAAACATAAACACTTTTGTGATGCAATGCCATAATTATCTCCTATCCTTGCTTTCTTCAAAACGTACATTGAGTTCTGTATTTAAAGAATGGTGAGCATGTAATTTGTTTTTGAAAAGCCAAAGGAAAAGAATTTTCTTATTTGTTTATAGGCAGAAATATGTTTCTTCTTAACATACCTTTACGTGACAGTTTCAAATTAGTGGCATTTCAGGATTTCCCTGAAAAGCCACTTTTTCTAGGTTTTTGTGTGTGGCTGGCTGGTTTGGCTTTTTAACTGTAAATGTATTAAATGTAAATGTATTAAATTTAAATGTATTTTTCTGGAACCTTCTTTCTTCAATGAAAAGAAAAGATGAAAGTTGTCTACATCAAGTATTGTCTATTTGAAGTATTGTGTAGAACCAGACCAGCAATTTGTTATATCTCCCAATTCAGACTGTTTCCAGTTAGAATACTTGTGACCTTCCCAGACTCCTGATGGGAAGAATTGTGTCAGTCTTGGTAGAATCCATTCTAAATTTTAGATAACTTGGCTCTTAAGACAGAATTTTAAATACAGTAGTATCAAAGTAGTTACCAAGCAGCAGAAGCATTGTAAGCTTGTAATTAGCTGCTTTAATGTCTGGTGGGAGCTGCTGCAGTTGGCATTCATGTTACTTTGTCTGCCCCTTCTGTGGTGGGATGATTGTCACAACTATTACCCTGCTACCATAAGGTCTGGACAGATGTTTCTCTGATGGGCTGCAGAATATATTAAATGCTAACCATAAAGAGACTTTCTTTGAAGTCTTAAAATTAATGGGACTGCTAACTTGATTTTGTCAGGTATTGTAATTCAGTTCATATCTGTCTTATATTTGGGACCAATATTTTTTTTTGTTTGTTTGTTTGCAGGCCTTGATGAAGAAGGCGACCCCAAAGGTAACTAAACTTGACTTTTCCTTCCACATCATTTCTGTGTGACAGGCACAGTGCTGGCAGTGCTGACATGGGTGTGCTGGGTGTTGTGCTCTGTTTTGCAGGCAGTGACACCACGCTGCTGCAGGGGAACGGGGGCATGGCAGCAGCAGCAGAGCTGCAGCCCACGCTGAACGGCTACACGTGCAGTGACTGCAGCATGCTGTCAGAGAGGAAGGAGGTCCTCACTGCCTACTCAGCTTCCCACGTGCCATCCTCCAGGATCTACACTAGGGACAGGAGCCAGAAACATGCATCTAGTAAGTTACTTCCTCTTGTGCTAAATTTCTGCATAGTGTTATTTAAGCACCTGTCCTACCCTGATGAACTTGCCAATAACTGAATTCTAGAGATCCCTTATTTCATATAACTTTTTTCTGTATCAGTTAAAATTTTATGTACTTGTCAGATTCTGATATATAATAATCTACTGATTTTTCGGTGCTGCTATAGAAATCAAACAATTACAAAATTAAAATCCTCTGGAATCGTAAGTTATAAAATTATTTGCCCAGCCAGCACTGATTGTAAGTCTTCTAATCTGACATCACATCTGTGTGGCCCTGCCTATGAAATATTTGGTCATAGTTTTCAGATACAAACTTTCTGTGCTTTTTTGTTTATAATTTCTTTTATCCCTTGCATGATTAGAACCTTCAAGTCTGACTAAAATTGTTACTTTGCAGTGCTTATGCTATCAAGAGAATCTCTGAGAGGGCTTTCAACTTCCTGCTTCCTTTTTTTCTCCTCTTTTAACCTTGCAGCTTTTTATAATGTTTCTAAAAGCTAAACCTCAACTACATGAAAAATTGAACTCCAAGGGGAAAAACTGATTCCAAATAGTCACTCTAGTGACTACATTCCAAGAGCTTGAAAAATTGAGTCTGTATAAATAAGGTTCTGCTTTTCCAACACAATCTCCATCCAGTGGATTGTTTTCCTCATTGTCTGTGTCTGCCTGCCTCTTGTATCTGGAGTTTCTTGATTACTGGTAGTCCCCAGTAACCACAAAGGATTTGTTTCTTTAATGACCTTGAATTAGAAAGGAGCCAAATCTGGAATACTGTCGGTTTGTTAGTCTTGAATGAAGTTTGTTTTCAGTACAAGAAAAAGAAACTAGTTTGTTTGGGCTATATGATGTGACCTCAAATATTTGAGTTAAGTATTTCTTTTTAGTTAGTTTGTAGCACAGGGTGGAATTCTTTTGACTTGAACAGTCAACTACTTAAAGTAGCACTGCATGAAAACTCCATACTCGAGAGTTTGTATTCACACGAGAGAATTTTCCTCATCTTTGTACATTCCTTTGAACTTTATCTACAGGTTTGAGTCAAACTTTGGGGGTGAGTGGGGGAAGGCACACACAGTCATGGCAGGTTTTTGAGGTGTGGCTGAGTCTAGGACAGTGGCAGTGGTGGATTTTGGCTTTGTTCCTGTGGCTCTGGAGAAGGGTGTGTCTCTAGCACTTCAGGCAGGCCACTGTAGGAACTTCCTCTGATGTAACAGCAGGGAAGATGGTAAACGGTCCTTCCTCCTTCAAATCCTGAATAACTCTGTAGTGTCTTTTTGGAACTGTGACTCCAAAATCAGGATCAGCACTTCACATCAGGAAGGAATCCTGAGTTAAGCAAGGAATTCTTTGCTCTTTAGAGTTCTGCATTCTCACTAAGCAAAGCTGTTCTTGCTGAAGTTACACATTTTGCCTTGAAGTCATTATCCAGGGTGTGTAATTCTTACAAAAGCTTTGATGCAGTATCTAATACACACAGGCTTTTCATACCACGCTTCCTGAAGTTTCACACTCTTGGCTAAACAAAGGCTTTCCCTACTTTTTCCTCACCCAAATTAATGATGACCAGAGAACAGATCCATTTCTATGGATGAATAATTTGTATTCACACTGTTTTTTCAATAGGAGGAACGTATTTCTACATGAGTAAGATTCTACGATTGGTCAAAAATACTGCAGCATCTTTTGCATCACTATTAGTGCAACTATTTCAAATGGTTTTGCTGAAGCTGGGTTATGAATATAAAGGTACCTTTTCAGTTGTCTTCCTTGGTCTGCAAACAAAGAGTATGTGCATTGGGTTTTTTTTCTTCTGCACTTCTTTGGCACTATGGTAGTCTTCTATAGTCCTCTGTCTGGCTCCTGTCTTTCTCAGTTTTTATTATTACCTCACTTGTGCTACACTTTTCATACTTTTCCTCTGTTTTGAAAGTGTCAAGATTCCTTTATATGAGATCCATGGTAATTTTACTAGAAAGTTGTAGAGAGTAGTTTTTGAATTCAGAAACTTGATTTTTTTAAAACTGTGGTGATAGTGTCAAATTCTAATTTTTCATTGTCTTTAGGTCTTTATCACCCTTAAATGTGCTATGCACTTAAAGCTTGTTTAAATCTGTCTTGGAAAACTCAAACTTCTCTCATCACTCTGCACTACTTTAGAGCACATCTTGTTTCCCCTGAAAACATTGATTTCTTCTTTGGTGCTTTCTCTTCTATAATACCTGCTCTACAAGTGAAGTTAAATTGCCATAGGCAGAAGGTAACTGATTTTTGCATGTGAATAGAACTTTACTCTCTTCCTCCTCTCTGCTCAGAGCCTTAAAATTGCTAATGCTTTCTTCTCCTTCTTGTAACAAGTTTGTTAAAATCAACACAAATTTAATGAATGGCTGACCCATTTGGTGGAATGTTGGGAACAGGGACTTACTTGATAAGGATTGGTTGGTTTGTTTGTTTTGGTTTTTTGTGTTTTTTTATTTTTTACAAACTTTTGCTGTCTGAAAAGAAAGATTGTTTTGGACTAAGAGGCCTCCTGATATTTAAAGAAGAAAGGACAAGATTGCACAGAGTAGGCTTCTTCCTCAATAATTTTTCAGGTTTCCTTTGAGTAATCTGACTTTATTAGTGAACCAAGCCAGTTTAGCTAAGATCTGTGTATATGAAAGGCTTTGATCTTGAATTAGAATCCATGTGTGCTTTTTGGATGTGTTGCAGCTCACTCAGACTACTGTGGCAGCATGAATGTAAAGGAGTTCTACAGAGAAGATCGTCATCTTGGTGTGAATGAGGAATCAATATGTAAGTGTAGTGATTGATGTAGTCTCAGTCCTGGGCTCTACCCGAGGTTGTTGCTGTAGTACCAGACAGCCCCTGACACTGTGGAAGCTACAAAGTAAATATTTAGTTTGCAACTTAAATGTGGGGGGGATGGTGATTACCCTGGTCTGCTGTAGTGTATCCCCCAGCAAGTTTCCTTCCCCTGAAGTTTGCTTAGCAGTTTTTGGGGTGATAACTGATGATGTGAGATAGACGTGTTCTAGTTATCTTGTAACAGTCTTGACTTGATCCTGGCTTTATCCCATTAATCAACTGTTACCACAATCAACAGGTGATGACTGTAAAGGGAAGAAACATCTTGAAATATACACCACAGACCACATGCAGTCCTCATGGGCTAAAAGGGTAGCAAGGACCATTTGGCACACCTTTTCTTCTGCAGGTTGACTTGGACATTTTTGTTTGCTTTTATTTTGCATCACAATCTCACAATGTTAATCACGCGTTTTGTGTTTGGGGCTTTTTTTCCTTCCTTCATCTATCAAAGTAGGGTAAAAATATAAAGTGCCTAGACTACTAACTTCCTTAACACCTCTTCTGTCTGAATTCTTGCTCTGACTTTGGCTTTTGTACAAATTTGGCAGGCTGCTTACCTATTAGTGAAAGCAAGGTATAGGGTAATGTGCATCTCATCTGTTAGAAGGAACAAGTGAGATTGTTTATTAGTTTATTGCACTTGGGGGAGATCTGTATGCTTGCTAGATTGAAAAGTTGACTTTAAATGAAAGCAAGGTGTGAGATACTGGTATGCAGATTATTTGAATAAAGGGGTTTTAACATTTTATTTTTGTTCTAGTGCTAGTCAATTTTTACAGGAATCTTATATAGGGATAGAATCTACCCTGTGAGATGAGCATTCCCTAGCTTGAATGACAGAGGCATCAAGGATCTATTGAGTGCTCTTTATTCAGCAAAGGAAAATGATTTGAGACACTTCAGTCACCTAAATGATTTGCAAAACATTGGGTTGGTATATCTATAATCCCTCAGATTAACCCAGACATATCTGCTAATCTAAAAACATAGGATTATTTTCTAAACATACACAGTGTAGTTTGTTCTGTAGAAAGATTGGTCCTAGTCTTGGACATAGTAATTGTTGGCCTCAGCAGGCTTTAAGTTACAGCATTTTATTGCAGTAACATTGGATGGGGGAGTTGGTAGTGGTAGTTTTGTTCTCTTAAAGAGATACAAAACTGTCCTACTAAACATCCTTGGGAACACTCAGCTTAATGGAAATTTACTGCTTGTAATTTTTAGGTGGGAATACTTTCTATTATTTATCAATATTTATTGGACATCACTGGAATTTTAAATTTTTAATTGTTCTTGCTTCTGCACAATAACCCAGATAATGAACTTGATGTATAATTTTGAACAAATAAGATCCTTTCAAAGTAATGACGTGCTTAAAGCTTGTTTTTGTGGTAGTACTCTTGCAATTCTCTGCTACACTTTGCATGGCATTGTTAGATAAACATGTTACAAAATGTAAACTTTGATTTTGGAAGAGTGATATTCTAACTGCACAGGTAGTGTTCAGTGTGTTTATCTCTGTCCATGAGAATTCAGTTTCTAAACTGTCTTGATTGTACTTGACTTCTTATTTATTAGTGGCTTGCTTTGCTTTTAAGTAGTGAAGAACCAAGTTTGAGATTACTGAAAGGTATGGTTTAAAATTCTGAAGAACATGTAATGGGCAGGGGACAGAGTGTTTTACTGCATGTACTGAAGAGAACCTTCAGCTCCTTTGTGTCTGTTACCAATATGGAGTTAATTTGTTGTAATCCAGGTTACTTTATGCTTCACGTGTTGCGAACAGTGGGAGCGACGGGATGGCTTGTGTCACAGAAGGTGTTGTCTCTACTTTGGCTGGCCATTCTCTCTCCAGGTTACTATTCTGATCTGTGTGTGTGTGTCTGAACTGCCTGTTCCTTTTGGCAAGGAGCTAATTCAGCTGTGCTTGTGCTGTAGCTTCTTTGTCTTGAAATGCATGTGCTACTTTATTGACCAAAATGTGCTTAGTGAGAGGGTGTGTTTCTGTTCACAGGCATTGCAGGAGACTAACCAGACTGTTTCATGAGGGAACAGTGTGTGAATAGCACTGAATATGGGGTGTCAAGAATAATGGGGTGTGTTTGGTTTGGCAGTCACTTGCTATATTGGTATTCCTCTTACCAAAAACTTCTGCTGTTAACTGATGCATTTCCTGGAGCATACTGAGGTCTCCAGTGTGTAATAACTTATGTTCAGACATTAATACTGAATTTCCAGTGTGCTAGCATTGTCATGACAAATGAGCACTTCCTCTCCTTGCATGGCTTTTGACCTTGTTGAGTAGCTGATGTTACAATGCTGTCATACTTGTGATATCTAGATGTCAATAAGCTGCATGCATTGCCTTATTCGTGCATTTCTCCACTCTGCAAATGCATTGTTGGCCACAGCTGCATGTCCCTCTGCTTGGTTTCTTTGAACATGTACTGCAGTAATTACATTTCACACTCCCACCTTTTGTCTTCTAGGGAGGGCAGCTTCTGGCATGTTCAGGTTGCTTAGAACTGGATGGTATCAACTTGTTACTCTGATGTCTTTGCTCAAGGTGTTTCTTATAAGAAGGTGTGTATCCTTTGACATAATTGTTTTATGAGCAAGTTATTAACCCAGTTATAATAGAACACATTTACATAATTGTTTTATTTCTTGTAAACTTTTCTCTCTTTCTCTAGATGCCTTCCGAGGAACTACAGGTGGTTACTGTTTCTTATCCCACTCCTGTTTCTACTAGGTATGTCAGTTGTTCACTTATAATAAAAATCAGCGTTTTTACTACAGCTGCTCCAAAAAAGCATTTTGAGTTCATTCATGAAAAAGATGCAGAACTGAAAAAGAGCAAGTTTGTTTGTGAACAGGGCAGTAATTCAAACTTCCAGGGAGCTGACAAGTCAGCAAGCTTTCTGCTTGTCAATAGCAAAATAGCAAAGCAATATTCTTGATTTAATTGCATAGAGCTCTTTAGAAGGAGTGGCTGAGTAAGTAAATGCACTGAAGTCCTTTTTTTCTTTACCTCCCTTCATAGGAGTAGCAATGGAAGAGTAGGCTGGGTACTGATTGCTTTGTCAGTCTCCATAGGAGTGTGGTTGAGTTTTTACCAACTCATCCAAAGTCTTTCCTTTGCTCTGGAGCATGTTTTACTTGCTTTAAGATACTGCTGACTTTAGTAGACTGTATTCCAGGCCAGCTGTCAACTTTGAAATGAAACAAATTGAAGCATTTCCCAGAAGTGCTGGGCCATTTCTGAAAAGCAGTTTCATGCCTTTGTGAGTCTTAAAAACTTGCAGCTATTTTGTGGAGAAGATGAAGCTTCTTGGAAACTTACAGTGGGAATTCAAAGTCCTCTGTGTAAGGGTGAACACGGAAAGAATTTACTCCCTGTAGAAAATGCTGCTGCTTCCCACTAAGATAATGCAAAAACAAGTGTAATCTTGTGAAATGCTCTTTTATTTCCACAGAGGCCTAAGTTACTTCTAGCTTTTATTAGCTGTTAATGCAATGTGATATTTACTAAGTGTATAATGCAACATATTTTCCATGGAGATAAAAGGCAGCATTTACATGTGCTTTCAGAAAACCTGGCCTATATTAATCACCAAATGTGACCAAGATGCCAGGGAAAGCAGTAGTATGAGTTTAGGCTTGTACCATGGTATATGTAAGTGCAAGTTGCCTGCCTCACAACTGTGTGAGTGGAACTGATCGATGTTCCCTGATATTCTTGAGTGCTTGATTTAAAAATTTTAAAGCTGACTTGTGTTTAGACTGGGCAGTGTCTATTGTGTGGCACCTGCCTTGTGAATTGAGGGTAGCTGTGTCCTTTAAAAGACCATTTGTAGGTATAAGCAGTCAGAAGGGAAAATTCTTTTAAACGCATGTTACTTTTTATTTCTGTTCTAGGTTTGTGGTTCTGGGGGCTTGATGGCTTCATTTCATTAATACCTCCATTGAACTGGACAAGAATTGACACAATACAGAAAAGAGATGATTCTGTTCGTGTTCCTGAGCCACAGGATGATTATTTTCATTCTGTGCAACCCCCAAAGGTATGGGAGAACAGTCTAGGGATGAACTTGCATCTATTTTAAGACCTCTTAACTCCTATGTTTACAGTATTTTGCAATGACTACTTGTTGCACAAGATTAATGTAAATAAGTTAATTATTATGTATTAAAACATTGTCTTTATGCTTTAGGATACCATAAATGTCTTTGACTTTGGTCGCATAAGTGAGCTGGAAAAGCAAATGGCCTTCGTGTCTGACAGATGCCATGACCGAAACCAAGAATATAACAAAGTGATGAGCCTACTCCAGAATCTTCAAGATCAGGTTGCCACCATGAGTGACAGAAGTGAAACATTGAATTTAATAAAAAATGTGATGAGTCAATATCTTAAAGATATGAAATTGGAGGAAAAGGTAAGACAGTAATTGTTGTTTCCTGATACTGATTGAGGTGTTCTGTTTTACTAATGCAGATTGTGAGCAAATTGACTGGAGGATTCTTTTTCTGCTCTAGAAATAAACAATAAGGAGTAGTAGTGAGCATTTGTTCCTCCTTTGTTATTGCTGACAAAGGATTAATTCCAGACAGCTGGCCTATAAAGAAGACTATAGGAAGGACTAGTGACAAAGCAGGGATTTTGTGGTAAATTCCCCTGTATATAACCCCTACTACAGCTAAATCAGACTTCTATATTTATTACAGATTCTGTAATTTCTCACACTACCTGCAGGATAAATCACTTAAGCATTCACAGAATGGAATGAAAATTACACTTTACAGAAAATATCAATTATGGTATTTATGCTCCAAAAGAAAATACACCCCCTTTCTCTTCCCTGTTTTTTAAGACCGACTTCCTGGCTTTACATAAAGAACATGAGTTGCGCATCCAGACACTGGAAGACCTTCTTAGAAAACTCTCAGCTGAATCCAAGGTATTCACAGTGAGCTTTGCTGACTTGTTCTACTTGGAACCTGTTGGTAAAATAGTCTTGAGTTTTATTTGCTGTCCCAAACAGCAGTTTCCTTTACTCTGGCTATTACAGTACTCGAAGTCTTGTTTGTGTTTTTGCTCCCCCTTCTTGGAGAGGGTTTCATTTCAAAGTTTAAACATTATTGCCTTGACCATTGAGGCAGGCTCTATTTGGAATGAAACTTTGTTATACAGAGGCATAAACATAAATGTGAGCACAATCTCATATATGTGGTGCTAAAATTTATTTTCATATAGCATTCTTTATCCTCTTTCTGTCACTTGATTTTCTTTGTATATGTTAAAACTTAACTTTTGTATTTTTTTAGGACATCCAGAAGGAGTTTGACCTAGCCAAATCAAAATCAGTGAGGTATAAGCACTTTTCAAATATATTTTGCTTTTTCATTCCTGATGCCAACTGTCAGTGATCCTTATCTTCTGTCAGTTAACTGACCCTGAGAGGTTCTGTTGTCAGCAGGAGCACTTCTGTCTTGTACTGGATTTCAGCTGTGATGCTGAACATCAGCACAGGACCCTCCTCTAGGGTGGGGGCAACCCTATTACTACACTTTCATTAGAGAAAATTATTTGTATAGTGGAGGAGAATGAGAGGCTTCTCATCCTCTTATAAATGCATTAGTTTTCCTTCAGATCACTTAATGAAATATAAACTAAATGCTTTTGATGGGCTCTATATTTAAATTCTTCCACTGTATAAATTCTAAATTTTGTCCCTTGTTTTTTGGCTTATTTGCTGAATTGCCATTTAAATTAGGATTAAATGTAAAATAGTTTTAGAATGATGGTTGAGACCTTTTTCTATAGCATTCACTGGACACTGATCTATATTAGTCATATATGAGCTGCTATTTGTAACTCAACACTGCCTCTGGAGTTACTCTGGTTTGAGTGAGGTAGCCTGAGACTCAGTCTAACTAGTGGCAAACTCACACAAAGTTTGATTGGTTTACCAGAAGCCCTTAAATTCCCCCAAATCTGTATATGTTTGAGTTACAAACTTGGCAGCCTGCTGATAATCTCAAGTCATCACTGCTGGATTTTTCCATTACTTCAAAATACTTTGCTTTGACTATATTAATTCTAAGTATGCCTTAAGTAACAATGTTAGAACTGCAAGTTCACTGTGTGTATTGTGGTGAGCAGTTCAACCAGGAGAACACTTTTTATTAGACAAGTATAATCTCAACCTTTGATGGAATGATTCCAACTACTCATTTGCTAATGATTGGCTCCTTGTTTTTGTCAGAGATGATGATCAGTACAGTCTACTTATGTCCAGAATTAAAAAGCTAGAACTAGAGCTGGCTTCTATGAAATCAGAGCTGTTATCTGGGGAAAGTGTGAAGACGAGTTGTGAGAAAATGGATGTCATTCATGAAAAAGTAGGTTCTGCAACTTCTTTAACTGTCCCAATAAAATTTGATAGTACTTAGTTTTGTTCACTAACTTTCTTGAAATGCACTGCAGTGATGTAACATGGAGGAAGTGTTAACCTTAAAGAATGACAGTGTTGTATGTAGGGTTACTGTGAATTTTTCCATTAGTGAATAACACTTTACTAGAGAGGAGTTTATTGCTTGTTTTCTACAATGGCAGGGGTTTGCTTTTAAGTTATGACATGGTAGCAGTTCTCTGTACAGCACTTTGTTGATGTATTTTGCTAAGCCATGGAAATATGGAAAAGAAACTCATGTAAAAGCAAGTTAGGTTTGTTATCTGAGAGTTATTTCTAAAAAATCCTGCCTAAGTTCTTTTGAAGCCTTTTGAAAGGTCTGACTGGAATGTAGCCAACAAAACACTGCAATATTGATATGGGATTATCAACTTTTATTTAATAATTTTTGATAACAGTCTAGCTATGTGCCTGTTGTATATTTATATATATATAAACTAATAATATAATTATTAATGGCTTCTACTAGGTAGATGCCCAGGTCAAAGAATCTGTCAAGCTAATGCTTTTTGGTGATCAACAAGAAGACTTTCCTGAATCACTTCTCCAGTGGCTTACCTCCAATTTTGTGAGCAAAAGTGATCTACAGACTTTGCTGCGGGATCTTGAGTTGCAGATCCTCAAGAACATTACTCTCCATATGTCTGTAACAAACCAAAAAGTAACATCTGAAGTAGTTACAAGTGCTGTGACTAATGCAGGGATTTCTGGGATCACAGAAGCGGTGAGTGAGTTTTAAGGTCTCAAAAGTACAGCTAAATCTGGAAAGAGTTATTTTGTGGGCATTTTTGTGGAGCAGGACTGTCAACATAAGTGTTAATGATTTTAGGGGACGTCAAGCAGCAGTCAAGATGCAGTATGAACTTGTATTTTAAAGCAGACAGCCATGCATTGAAAGTGGCCTTCATGCATTAAAAGTAGCCTCTGTCTTGACTGAGGCTTTCAAAGGCTTGTGATGAAGTGCAGCATCTCAGAAAGTTGCTTGCAACTTCACAGATATGTAAATATCATTTTTTATCACATGATCTTATTAAAATCTTTTTCCTTCCACTCTCTTGTATGTGTACACCTCTAGCAAGCACAAATTATTGTAAATAATGCACTGAAACTCTACTCTCAAGACAAGACTGGGATGGTGGATTTTGCCTTGGAATCTGGAGGTAAATAGTAGAGAAAACACCATTTTTATTATTCATGCTTTTACTAGTATTTACTAGAAACATTAAAGTGAAGAGTAAGGTTTAGTAGAGCATTCATCAGATCAGTGCAATCTGTGATGTGTTTACAGGGCTGTACACAGCCTAGGTGTGCATGGACAGGAATAGAATAGTTCTCAACATGTCTACAGCTGGATAAGAAAGAAATCAAAAACTTTCAACCTGTTCTTAAAATAACATTGTAGGTGATAGAAGCATTGTATCCATTATTAGAAAATTATTAGATCTTAACAATATCTTTAATCTGGTATTCATTAAGCTTTTATATAATCTCTGCCTTAATTACTCATTCCTTCTTGAAGACTTATATTTCTGCTAACCTGATCTATCTTTTTTGAGGTGGCAGCATTCTGAGTACTCGCTGTTCTGAAACCTATGAGACCAAGACAGCATTAATTAGCCTCTTTGGAATTCCTCTGTGGTACTTCTCTCAGTCTCCCAGAGTGGTGATTCAGGTAATTAAAGGCCAAGTAAACAAATGCAGCAATGTTATTTTGTGTTGAGTGGTTTGGATGGCTCTCTGGGTGCTGGGTGTATCTCTAATACATTGGGAGCACAGGTACTTTGAGCTGTGTTCCCAAGAGTGGGATTCTTCTGGCAGTCCCTGGACACAGCTTAAGTCCTACTCTAGCAAAACTGGCACTTACAGGAAGCTTGGGTGGTGCATTGGGCTTGTGCAAAGTGTGAGGGCTGGGAGGGTTCCTGTTGAGAACTAATCTCAAGGTAGGTCTTCAAAACACCACTGGTAGCTCACGTGGGTATGTCTTGTCTTCCTCAAGAGTTCCACCAAGGAGATTAGTTCTGCCTCTTAGTATTTAAGACTGCCCCTAAAAACTCAGAATTCATAACAACTCTTTATTACAAGAAAAATAAATTAGAAAACACTCTAGCATTGTTTTTACTGTTGTGTCCCATCTTGTCTCCACCTTCCTTCTGTGCAGCCCGACATGTATCCAGGAAACTGCTGGGCTTTCAAAGGATCACAGGGCTACCTTGTGGTGAGACTTTCCATGAAGATCTATCCAACTGCCTTTACACTGGAACACATACCAAAAACTCTTTCACCAACAGGAAATATCACCAGTGCTCCTAGGAATTTTTCAGTATATGTAAGTCTGTCTCTGAATTTAAGTTGATGTTTGTACACAGAATATTTGTGTTCCGTACCTTGGAAAATAATAACTTGAGGGAGAACAGCTAAGAAGATCATAAACTGTTTCATTCATTGCTCTTCAAAATTGTTTTTATTTATGAGCTTTGAGATTATGACTAAGAAGTGTTGCAACTAATTTTGGCTGAGTTCTTTACTCTTTACTCTATACAGTAGTAAACATTTTTGCAGGGAGATAATGATTATTCAAAACAATCAGTGATTAATCAATCAAATCATTTATTTGATCTAGTTCATTCATACACTTTGTTTCATCCTCCCTCCCATTCTTCCTCTCACTACCCACTGTTTCTCCCATTTTGTCTCTGTGCCTTATCTGTGATGTGCCTTAAATATTTTTTTTAATTCATTTTACCTAGCACCACAGTTGTGTCAGCAGGATTTCAGAACAGAACAGACTACAGGGTATATTAGAGCAGTTATGATATTTGAGAACTTTTTTGTCAGGCTTTTCTACATGCTTAAACAGTCACCTGCAAGCATCTGAATCTTGACTTCAGCCTTGATGTTCTCTCACTGTTTGTCCTGAGCAGTTTATATTGTACACTGTGATACAGGTTTGGCCATGGAAATTAAAGGCTTTGACTAAGAAAACACGTAAACAGCACAACTATTTACAGGGCAGGAAACTGGAATACAGAGCTGTGCTTGAACTTAAAATTACACGGGAAACATTGTGATCCTGGCTTGATAGACGTTCACCTGCTGTCTCTTGATACTCTCTGTAGGCATGCTTCTAGTTTGGGTTTGATTGGAAATTTGATGGAAGCAAAAATCTTTATCCTATTGCTACAGGGTCTGGATGATGAATATCAAGAAGAAGGCAAGCTTCTAGGAGAGTATGTCTATGATCAAGATGGAGAACCACTGCAGATGTTTCCAGTGATGGTAAGTCTGGATTATAAGATTTGAAGTGTCAGGAGAAAGTTACTTTTATTTTCTACCCTTGTATACAATGAGCAGTGAAGGGAAAAGGCCTTGTTCTCATCTGGACACTGTAGAAGCTGAGGTAGAAAGTATCTACCTACCTCTGCCTCAAAACCTTTGGCCTAAATACATGAGATGGGAAGAAGGTTTGTTACTATGTGGACACAAATTATGGGAAGTTGCTAAACATGGGAAGAGTCTGTTCCATGCTGCTTGACAAATAATTGTAAGGCAAGGAAGGGTCTGTTCAAAGGAACAGAAAAGCCCCAAGGCATAACTTAGGTTCCTCCAGGTCCCAACAGTCATTAATAACTAAGAAAGCTTCAGCTGCAGCTGTTAATGCCAGAACCCTAACACTGATTTGTGTGTTTGCTTTTTTCTTCTCCAGGAGAAAAATGAAGATGCATTCCAAATAGTGGAGCTGAGGATTTTCTCTAACTGGGGCCACGCAGAGTACACCTGCCTTTATCGGTTCAGAGTGCACGGGAAACCTGCCGAGTAACTCACACTACAGCTGGGGGTGGCTGCTTTGTACATTTTGTTCCTAATCTGTATATACTGGGAAGCCTACAACACTGGAATCTGCAAAGGACGAGGATGCAAGGTGCACACTGCAGAACTATTGATCCTCTGGTAAAGGCAGAAGACTGTCAGCAGAAATGTATAAACCCCAATTTTTATTTGCTGTAAAGCTCAGCTTGTAATTGCCAGTTCGCTTCATATTTCTGTGTCCATGCTGAGAGAAATAATGCATGCAAACAGCTCTGGTTCATAAAGCCCAGTTGGTAAACAGGTGACACATATTTTATTACAAATGAATGTATAGGTTTTTTTAAAAGAATAAACCACACTTTCTGCAACTAGGAATCTGTTCTTTTTTAATCCAGGACTTAACTGCATACTTTTGCTAGCTTGGCACCATAAGCCAAAAACTGTGGTACATTTTGAACACTGACTGTGGCTAAAGGTGTCCTTCAGTTGACAGTTGGTTTTGACCTTTTTGGTGGATCCAAAAGGGCTTCTTTGCTACATATTGAATATAATAAATACTACTGTCAGGGAAAGCTAACACAACCAAAACCAGTTTAAACACCAGCGACTGAGAATGCTTTACTGTAATTTGTGGCCGTGAATTGCTCTAAAAGTCAGGGATAACTTTAAGTAACTGAAGTTATTTTAAGGTTTTTTTACCATGGCAACTTGGCCAGCTTGTTCTTTTTTTAGTGTCAATCCCAAATCGACCTTGATGTACTGACTGACTGGCTCGGAGCTGATAAGCCTGCTGCATTGTTCAGTAAACACTGCTATACAGCAGTTGCACTACCTTAGTTTGTCAAAAGTGATCTCTTTGAGACAAGATCTCCTTAGACTGGTTGATTGTTATCCTCCATAAATGTACTGTGAGAATTTGGTGTGTGGAAAATAAGCCTGAAGTAATTCTCGCTGCGTCACATTTACAAGAGGGACTCGAGCTCAGCGCTGCTGTGTGCAAACACGGGCATTCCTGATCCTCCCCACAAGCCTTAGTCGGGTACCAGATGAGTAGAGTTGCTCTTGGAAACAACATTTCCACGTAGAACGAGATGAAACTGCTTATTGCCCCCTTAGCCTTGCTGCTTTGAAGATCCTTTTCAGAAAAGATTCCTGAAATTCACTTGTATGCAGAATTTTTATCTTGCTGTTCTAGTGCATTTTGTAGTTACACAGAACTGTTACCACATGGACCTGCTGACTGGTTTTCTGAATTGAGTTATGTATGTTGCACAACAGTCCTCGAATGTTTGAAATACAAAAAGTCTCCATGTGAAGAACTGTTTTTCACTCGACTTAGAGACAGAACCTATGGCCTACGCAGAGTGGTAGATGAACACATACATGTACAGGTGTTTTCATATTACAGGTTACATATTTAAAATTAGAATTATCCTGTATAAATTGAAGTTAGGTAGCTGGGGGGGAATATTTTGAATAACACTAACTTATTTTTAAAAAAGCAAGATAGGACTTTGTGCAATGTATTTTTGTAAATGCTTTTCAAAATGTCTGTTATTCTTTGCTGCCTCCAAACTGACAAGATGCTATTGAGATGTTTAAATAAAGAGTTTTAATTTTTGAAAGTGCATGTAATACTTGAAACAAGAAATAAAGCCTCTTTTCTGTATTTTTTTTTTTTTACCAGCTGCTTAAATAAGTGAGGAAAGACTGTGATTTCAAAATTGCCCCAAGCTGGGGCAGGGGCGATTTCACTCAGGCTTTTACGAGGGCTTTACGGGGAGGAGTGGGGCTCCATCAGAGGTGGAGATTTGGAAAAGAAGCACACCTGGGTCGTTGCTGTCTGATTTTCAGCTGACTGAAGGGTGGGGGTTGGCTTAATTCCTGCTCCTTCAGCCTTGCCTGGATCCCTGAGCCAGCACCATCCTCTGCCAGGCTCATTGCCTGTGCTCCATCAACCGTTCCTTGATTTTTTTTTATTGCTTTTTCTAATTATTCGGCAGTTTCCTGTGCCGGTCGTGCCCCGGCTCGAGTCCCGGGGTTCCTCTCACGCCGTTTTCAGCCCCCGTGCCGCCGTTACCGCTCGGGACGCCGCGCGCAGCCGCGCGGGCTGAGCCTCGCGGGCCGCCGTCCGAACGGGCGGAAGCCGGGCAGCGGGGCGCCGGGGCTGCGTGCGCATGCGCCCGGCCCCCACCTCCCCTCCCCTCCTCCGCGCTGATGGCGGCGGCGATCATGGCGGCGGAGCAGGAAGCCGCGAAAGGCGGCGGCGGCAGGAACCGCGGCGGCGTGCAGCGCGTGGAGGGCAAGCTGCGCGCCAGCGTCGAGAAGGGCGACTACTACGAGGCGCACCAGATGTACCGGACGCTCTTCTTCAGGTAGGGCATCGCCGGGCCCGCCGCGCCGCCCCTCCCCCGCCCGGCCTTCCAGAGCCTTCCCACGCACTCTCCCCCGCTGCCGCCCGCCGCGCCCACGGCCGCTTCCCATTGGTCGCCGCGCCTGTCCATCCCCGCGCTCCGCTCTCTGATTGGTCCACAGGGGGGCGGGGTGGGGCGGGGGCGCGGCGCCGGCCCAAGCGGGGCTCGGGCCGGGCCGGACAGCGGCGGCCCCAGGTTCGGCCCGGCCCGGCCCGGCCCGGCCGCGTTACCTCCTCGGCCCCGCCGGCTCAGTCAGCGGCTCGGGGCGGCGGGGAAGCCGCTGCTCACCGGCCTTTGGAGGTCAATCCCGACCCCGGGCCGGTCCGTGCCCCGCCGGCCGGGCACTGACCGGTGACGCGCGGGGGGTGTTGCGTCACACTGCCCAGAGGTCACGGGCACAGCGGAGTTTCGGGCCCGCGTCCCCCACCGCTTCTCGGTGGCCCCACGTTCCGGCGAGGCCGAGCGAGGCCCCCCGGCCAGCGGGATGGGCTCGGGGTGTCTCCCTGGGCTTCCCCTGGCGCTCGGGTCGGGGCTCGCCCCGTGTCCTGGGGCCATCCTGGAGCTGAGCCCTGCACAGCCGGTGCTCTGCCAGCTCCGTGTAAATGTCAGGTGGCTGCGCAGTGCCGGTCTCAGGTTGATTGTTGCTCTGCTGGGACATGCGGCTACTTTGTTGCACGGCACAGTCACCCTGGTGCCGCGGTCTGAAAGGGGCAGCGCTCAGCATGGCCAGAATCCCCTGCACGGAGGAGCTTTTTGGAAAAAATTCCACTTGGTGTAGTACTTGTGTACGTGACAGTGACTAAGTAGAGCAGGCCTGGGCGTTTATTCAGAAATGTTACTACTGCCTCTTTTGTCATAAGGAAATTCTTCTTATTGCAAAGCATTTTTAGGCTTCGTTTTTCACATCCACTGCAGCTTGCCAGGGTCACTCTTTCTCTCATCAGATTTTAACATGTAGGCCCTTGCTTGCAGGATCACAGAAGGAGGTGTTTGTTCTAGGGGCTTTCTCACTTGGTCCCAGCTTTGTTTACTTGTGCTTCTGCTGGGAGAGGACGGCATGGAAACTTGGCCTCACAGAATCAGTTAGATCAGGCCCAACTTTTGTCTTTCATCTCCTGTCAGCTGGACAGTGGAGTGCCACATCTGAACCCTTCTGTGACTCCACCACCTCCCCAGGCCGCTGGGCCCGGTTCCAGTGCTTGACCACCTCTTCTGTGAAGAAGGTTCTCCCAGCTCCTGTCATCCTGTCACAGCTGCCTGGGAGAAGGCTCCAACCTCCTTTCAGATGTTCTAGAGAGAAGGATCCCCCTGAGCCTCCTTTTGTCCAAGCTGAGTCCCCCAGCTCCCTCAGCTGCTCCTCATCAGACTCAGCTCTACTGCCCTTCTCTGGACATGTTCCAGCCTCTCAGTGTCTTTCTTGAAGTGAGAGGTCACAAACTGGACACCACCCTCCCTGTCCTGTGTCTTGTTGGGATAAGAACAGGCCTATGAGTAAGCACAGAAATATAGCAGCCATGGAAACAAGTGGGGAAGAAAGTCCTCGGTGAATAATCCTCCTGGTGCTCCCAGTGTACATCAGACAGCCTGCCCTGCCCTGCCATGCCCTGCCCTGTGTTCCAGCACCATCCCAGTAAATCACTTTGTTCTTCCATAACCCCTCTGATGAGATCAGCGAGGCACCATCCAGGCTTTAAGACTTAAATTGTATTTGAGAATAAATCTAAATTTAAGACAAAGCCTGGCCTATTTTGTAGTAGGGATTATGTGATGTGGTGTGAGAAGTCTTGGCTCAGGAGGTCACTTCTCCAGTCTTCTGGATGTATTAACTCACATACTCAAGGCTGAATTAATTTGGAATCAAAGATCCTGCTTTTTCCATTTTAAATATAAGTGAAAGGATGTGTTCAGTTGAATGAAAAGGTGACACTTGCTTGGCTGGGTAGTCTTGTCAGTCCTCTGTAAAATGTGATAAAAATCAGCCTTTTTTTCAGACACATTAAGACTGGGATGACCTGAGCTCTGGAACTGTGATTGGGTTAGCTAGTGCTTTTAAACACATGGGCCTGTAAAACATTTGTCTCGTCTGTCAGAGGGTAAACTTGAAATCCTGACTCAGTTTCATGCACTGAGATGTATTTTAGGGTGGAGGAGGGGAAGAAGTGGAGGAGGAAAGATTACCCTAAGCCTGCCTCCTGCAGACTTATTATCCCTTCGTGATCCACAGAGCAGGTGGAAAATTGCTGTTCCTGCCTAACCCTGAGCTCCCTGGACACACCTGAGCTGGTGGTGTTTGTTACTCCCCAGCCTGGCTGGGCTGAACTCTTCTGTCTTCATGATTTGGTGACTGAGCCACTCTTCTAATATCCTTTTTACATCCATTTCTATTTTCCTGATACTTGTAGGTCATTTTTCTGGTATAAATAATGTGTTCCAGGATTTCTCTTGTTTCAAATACCATTTAGAGCAATGTCATTAATATTTATTTTTATTAAACAACTTTTCTGATAAAAGTTCTTTGAAAATACCCAGCTCCTTAAAATGTATTTTATACCATAAAATTGTTCTAGCATCTTTTGTAATAATTCTCAGGAGCTTCCATGTAGCATTGGGAATCTGCAGGAAGTAGAATTTGTAGAAGTGGATCCATGCTGAGTCCAACTCCTAGAAGCAAACCTGGATGGGAGCCCAATTATAAAAACGTTGGAGCTACGGATTCATTTGACTCACATTTACCATGGTGATTGCAAATCTGAGTTGTTGAGGATTATTCCAAAACACTCTTGTCGTGCTTCCCATTATTTCAGTTCTGTTTTAGATAAAAGACCTTGGGGTTTCTCAGAGTTGATGAGCAGGGTGGGAGGAGTGTCCTCCCTTGTTTGTTGTCTGTGTGATGTTACCAGTAGGACCTGTCCCCGGAGGGGACACGTGTGACAGGAATCTGGGGCACAGCACAAGAGGTTTGGGATGCTCTGGTTGTCCCTTTGGTTGGTGTGACTCCCCCATGGCCACGCTGTCCTGCTGTCCCACCACCCCTGACTGCTTCACCCCCAGAACCACCAACCCCTTTGTTACCCCATGAGCACTTTTGGGCTTTGGAACAGCCTGGGGGGCCCCAGGGCTTCAGGAGCAGAGGGGCTGCCCTAAGCCCTGGGAACAGAAAGGGGTGACACAGGCACAGCCCAGCCAGGTGTGACACAGAGGACAAACCAAACTGCAGGTGCTAAAGCAGCAGGGTAGAGCTGACACTTATCTCTGCTGATATGAGCAAATCAGCTACTGAGAACACAGACTTTCTGAGTAGCAGTTAAGAGAAATGGAATTTGGAAACTCTGCCACACCTAAGCTGCTTTTATGGGAAATGCTGTGTTTATAAGCTGGAGCTGTGACTCTCCAAGAGCTGTAGTTACTGACAGTGATGATGTGCAGGAGGCTGCAACCACAGCTCTGTGGTAAGAGGTCCTGAGGTAACCACTGGGAGCAAATTCTTTAATTCCTTATTTCTTTGTTAACTCTTAAGTGAGAAGGGTGGAAGGTGTGTTTTGAAGCATTATATTTTATTTCTTTGAAAGTGTTGCATGATGAATCTTGCTGGCTGTGCTTATCTTACTCTCAGACCCATGAGAGATGAGCTCCTTTGGTTCAGCAGAGAACGAGGACAGGCTCAGGCTGATGTCCCCTGGCAGAGTTATAGTGGTCAGAGAGACTTAGACCAGTGGAAAGGTCAGCGAGCTCTCCAGGAGGTATTCCAAAAATTGTTTCACTGGGATGGTTTTGGTAGAGGCTCAGTACACTATCATCTTTTGCTCAGTTGAAGTTTTGGGTTCATTCCCTTTTCCTGTTCCAGCCCTAAACATATTTGTAACTCTCTCCATTTCCATCCTGATATTCTTCGTTTTATTCCATCTGGTCTGGAGCAGAAAACCAATTGCAACTTGCAGTTCAAGCTACATCATTGTTGAAACTAACCTGATTTAAAAATAAATCCCTTGTTGTCATTATTTTAAATTTTAACAATCTTTTAATCCTTTAAATATAAGTAACTTTAAGCATACACAACTAACTTAGTGGTAATTTTAACATGGCTTTGGTTTTTTTTCAGGTATATGTCACAAGGAAAACATGCAGAAGCAAGAGAACTAATGTATTCAGGGGCTTTACTCTTCTTCAGTCATAACCAGGTAAGTCACTGGTTTTGTGTGTGGGGCTTGGGG